TTACAGGCAGCACAAAATTTTGATTACTTACTTTCCCCCTTGATCTCCAAGGCACTTCAAAGTGAGCCAAGTAAGGTATTAAGCACACAGTACAGTGACTTGAAAAAATTCAGTGTTAGTAAAAACAAAGAAATACACACCACAGAAAAACAACAGAACCATAGATAAAGTATTTATGAATTACAGACAGCTCCACATTAATAGAAAAAGAATCTTAGTATAATATAGAGGTAACAAAAATGCATAATATGATGATGCTGCAGAAAACAGACAAAACATGGGATCCATAACCAATGTAAACAAGCATTAATTTATAAAATAATCCCAAATGTCTGTGATTTGTGCTTCAGAGAGTGTCAAACATGTCACTTCGCATACAAGATGATGCTGCAGAATAACAATCAGGAGAACAACAAGCATAGGAAAGAGTATAGAAAAATATTTACAAATATTATTTACCTTGGCAATTAGTCAAATCAGGATGAGGTAATAAAAAATATAAAATGCAAAAGCCAAATGGTTTATAGGTTTCTGCTGTCTTCATGTCATAACATTAGGTGAGAATACTTCATCAAAGCCCAGCACATTAGGAGTTTTCTCCAAGGAATTATTTGTCCATCCAATAAATAATTAGGACTCTATATGGTCTGCAGCATTGCTAAACCCAATAAATCAGCAAAAATTATTATAGTAGACATTTTTGCAAGCATATCCAGAATCCTAGTAATCAGTGTTATTAACTGGAATATAAAGTCTCTTTTCCAGCCAATTTCTAATTACTAAGAATCGCAGCAGGTTTTCCAGGACAGTAGATCTGCCTACTGCAGCTTCCTCCCTCTCAAGATGACAACTTTCATAAGATGTATATTCCACAAAAAGCCGTTGATTCAGCACCTAATTCAGAAAGCTGAATTAGGTGCCCTGGATGACAAAGCTCCTATTGTAGCTCAGAGAGAGTTAGTTACTAATCAGTGGAGTCTAAACTGAACTGAGTAACTAGAGAAATATGCTTTAAAGAGCTATTAATCTTATCTTAGATACCTAAATTTAGGAGCCTATGAACCCATCAGGTCCCACACTGAAGTTAGGGCAAGCTGAATCCCCATCCTGATTACCCTAAAGTACGTTATTCCTGGAGGGCACCTTCCAGAATGACAGTGAAATTATTTCCTCTTTTACTCTCAGATGCAATTAAATAACAGAATTAATCTAGCCAGAATTTTCACTTTCCTAAATAAACATATAGTAAGAAATTGAGTGTCTATGGTTTTATATAATTCTTAGATGCACTAGAAGTTGACCTAACCCAAATCAAATGTCTAAAGCCAGCTGTACAAAGCAGTGCCTCAAAACCAGTATTTCTACCATAAAATTATTATTTTCCATCTTTTTACCACCAAAAAACCCATAACTGAATTAAATGTTTCAAACAAGAGTTCAGATGGATTAAATACAGGTGCTGTCACATGATGCCTGTGCATTTAACTTGGGACTCTAGGATAGATTTATAATAAGCCAGGGCATTTTATAGAACCATGTGGGCTCAACAACTGAAAGGCAGTTGAGGAGGTTAACACCTCCAGATTTTCTTTTCCTTGTTAATGTGCATCAGTACCTCATCATCAAAAACAAGGCAGAGGTAGAAACCTAAGCCAAATGTCACCTTTTTTTCTTCCCATGGACTTGGGAGACTGGTACCTAACAAGACAGTAGGAAGAATCTGGCCTTGAGTGTCTTACATAAAGACTCTGAAGTCAAGGGACACCTTTTGTTCTATTTAATAACCTCTAGGTGAGGATGCTCAGAACTACAAAACACCTATAATCTCTTAAAAGACATCCCAGTGCAAGATTGTGCACTAGGAGATAATTGCTAGAAGTGAGTTGATTGTTCATTGAAAAGTAACATCATCAGCAATAAAGAAAAAAATGAAACAGATGATCTGATTTAAATTTACCAGCTCCTCATTTTAGAATCATAAAATCATAGAATAGATTGGGTTGGAAAAGACCTCCAAGATCATCAAGTCCAACCCCCGATCCAACTCTAATTACTATATCATGGCACTAAGGGCCATGTCCAATCTCTGTTTAAAAACCTCCAGGGATGGTGAATCCACCACCTCTCTGGGCAGGCAGTTCCAATGCCTGATCACCCTCTCTGTAAAGAATTTCTTCCTAACATCTAACCTAAACTTCCCCTGGCAGAGCTTGAGCCCATGTCCCCTTGTCCTGTTGTTGGTTGCCTGGGAGAAGAGACCAACCCCCACCTGGCTATAACTTCCCTTCAGGTAGTTGAAGAGAGTGATGAGGTCACCTCTAAGCCTTCTCTTCTCCAGAATAAACAACCCCAGCTCCCTCAGCCTCTCCTCATAGGACTTGTGCTCAAGTCCCTTCACCAGCCTGGTTGCTCTTCTCTGGACCCGCTCCAGCACCTCAATATCCTTTCTGAACTGAGGGGCCCAGAGCTGAACACAATACTCAAGGTGCGGCCTCACCAACGCAGAGTACAGGGGAAGGATCACTTCCCTGCTCCTGCTGGCCACACTGTTCCTGATCCAGGCCAGGATGCCATTGGCCTTCTTGGCCACCTGGGCACACTGCTGGCTCATGTTGAGCCTCCTGTCGATCACCACCTCCAGGTCCCTTTCCACCTGGGTGCTCTCCAGCCACTCTGTCCCCAGCCTGAAGCGCTGCAGGGGGTTGTTGTGGCCAAATTTTAATTAGCAGATATTTATTTATCTCAACTTTCCTCTTAAACTCAACTTGTTTGCAGTAAGAAAGGAAAAGTAATTCTGGTGAATAAACAGTGATATTTAGTTACATAAAATATTCTGCAACTTGTGCATTACAAATAAACTCAACCTTAAATCTGTGTGTTATGACTAATTTTAGGGCTTGAATTTTATCCAAAAAAAGACTATGGAAAATCTTGACACACACACCTCTGCCTCCAAACAGACAAACTAGAAAGGGCAAGAGAAGGCAAACAAGTAACTTCTACAAGCTGGGGGTAGGAAATTGAGGGGAGTGGGGGGACTTAAGTGAAATGACAAAAGTATTTGTAAAAAGAAAATAAAATAGTAATTTTAATATAAATATTTAAAGGTGTATTTTCCTGGAAAAATGGTCATTTGGCGTATATTCCATCTGCGTCAGTTTGTGTTAAAAATATTCTCTCTTGGGACAAAGAAACAAGAGGAGGACATTAACTAGAGAAGGCTAAAGTTAAGGATTTAATTTTTGCTTTCTTAACAAAGAGAATGCTAACAGAGTATCTAGAACATAAAAAAACCTCATAATTTTAAAAAAGGCAAGGATTCTCTTTTTAAGATTGAAGAAAATAAAAAGTAAAAAGAAATGTTTCTTTTTATTTATAAGGAGTATTGCTGGAAAACTAACCACCCACTCCACCCCCAATCCCGACTCCAACCCAGCGCAGGCGAGGTCAGAGATGTCGTACTTCACAGAACTATGTTGCTGGGAGACTGGGTTAGGCAAACACAAAGAAAGATGCCAAAAGATTAAGCAAAATGACGACTATTACCATATTTCACAGTCAAATCAGATGACTCTTCAATACAGGAGAGCTTAAATCTAAATAATTTTTCAAAATTAATTTGTAGACTCCTTAGAGAAAACATTGTTTGCCCTAAATTACCCAGGACGTGAAAATAAACAGTGTCAGCTGTTAAAGCTGTAGCCCCCGAGATTTCTTTTTTCACTACTGTCTTCTCCAGAATTCTAGATACTAGAATCATGCTTTTGATGAAGAATGAGATACTGAATGGGCCTAAAGGATTATAAACGATATCAAAACACCAAACCTTACACAAGGAAAAAAAAAAACGGGGGGGGGGGGAACCCTAAACATGCCACATTTCTGAAGAACAGAGCTTCTAGACAACAAAATCTTTTCAAAAGGCAAGCTAGTACCTTACACAGCCACCACCTGATCTGAGACCTTCTGTCAAAGTACTCTTTTTAGCTGCATTCTTCATCAGTAAAGAAGCTTAGATTTATACAACAAGACAGATTGTCCAGGCCAACTCGAGCACATCTTTGAAGTCTCTGACTACTTCAGTAGCTGTCTGGGAAGTACTAGAGTAAGGAAGACCTACAAAGCTTTCATGAGGCTTACATTTGACTGCCTTGGAGAAGAAAATACAAGACTGGTAATATAGACCACCTGTGGAATTAAAATTCTCAGGAAAATGGAAAATCAGCATTTTAATAGAGAATAATGGGATATGCAGGTTAAGAAAAAGGATGCCATTTCAGTCAGTGGGACAACTCAAGACCTTTAGAAGGTCAACTTTACCCCATGGTGTTCTTCATAACTAATTCTTGTTCAAAAAATATACTTTTCCAGAGGTTAAGAATCAGCTTACCTGAGAGTCAACTGTGTCAGACATTATCACTTAGTTCTAACAAAGTAGTTGAACAATAAATCTAAAACACCTGTGAACTTACAGAGGGAACTTATGAACACTATGTTTTTTACACCAGTATCAAAATCAAGGCATGACTGTAAGGACAGCTTTTCCACCTGACTTGGAAATACACAGGGGTATGACTGGCAACAAAAAAAATAAAATACACTTCAATATGACGGAAACCAAAAATGTTATGATAAAAAATTGAAACAAAAACACAATTACATTTGATTTAATTCAGCATGTCACCTCAAAGAAAAATGACATCACAAACGCAAGCTGTACTAGTAAGTACTATGAAAGTACTAATACTGAATCTTGCTGTATTTTTAATTCCTTATATCATTGTCTTTGAAAGAACTGTTATCTGACATTTCTGCTGAAAAAATCACTGAAATAAAATGTTCTATAGTTGATGTGGTACTGTTCTCATACATTATACCATTTCCAAATATAAGACATGTTATTTCCAAATGGAGGAAAATAAGCAATTGAGAGGATTCTTGATGTTCTTAGTAACAGTCTATCCATAGCTTTCAAGAGCAGTATTAAAATTGTTCCATACCGTGAAGCTGTTGTTGACATTCTTTGTGCTCGATTCAGCTACGCTGGCATCTGACAGGTCAACTTCATCAAATATTAGAGACTGTGAATGGTAAAGAACATAAAAGCATTAAATTTAGTCTGAGTCCGCTTTCAGGTATGCTCACAATATGTGCTTCGATTCCATTTTGTCCATTCAAATTAGAAAATAAAAATGGGAAAAAAAACACAGGGAACACACTGATGATGTGATATCCTTCATAGCTGGCCCCTAAATACAGTCCTATTTGCTATCTAAGGATACATGAGAGCATGAAAAAATGGCTCCAAAAATTATATTGCTTTAATACCTCTTTTAGAAGAAGGGGTTTCTTTAAAGTGATGCAGCTTTAGGGTGTCTACTGTGGTGTCAGAGGAACGAGATTCACACTTAGTAAAACATCAGATAATTGATCAGTATTAGGATGGAATTCCTGAAGAAATCTATGATACAGTATCCATACCAGAAAATGGAGCTCAAGGGCCTGAAGAGATCCCTTCCACTCCTTTGTTTGATGTTCCAACAAGACAAATATATGTCTACTGTAAACAACCCAGCCTCTGGCAAAGTATTAATTAGGCTCTATTATGCACATGATGGGTTTTGAAGCACAGAGGGGAACACAAACGACAATGCTTCTTTTTTAGCCCTATGCCATGGGAGGGAGAATCCATGCTGGGGGAGATCCAGCATGTCTGGATTCAACCTTACAGAGTATTTGCACTTTATTGTTATGAGTATTGCTAACTCTTAACACCTCTTTTTCTCATCTTTATTATAGAATCACAGAATGGTTTTGGTTGGAAGGGACCTTAAAGATCATCTAGTTCCAAGCCCCCCTGCCATGGTCCAAGTTGCTCAAAGCCCCATCCTTGAACACTTCCATGGATAGGGCATCCACACTTTCTATGGGCAACTTGTTCCAGTGTCTCACCAACCTCACTGTCAAGAATTTTTTCCTTGAATCTGATATTCAAATCCCTCCTCTTTCAGTTTAAAGCCATTCTCCCTTGTCCTATGTGCTTTTCAAAAGTCCCAGTTCCCCTGTAGCCCCTGTAGGTACTGGAAGGTTGCTGTAAGGTCCCCGGAGCTTGCTCTTCTCCAGGCTCAATAACCTGTCATGGTTTTGCTCAAGGTCTTGTCCCTGTGGTCCAGGCACTTGGCTAGGAGCCAAGTCCAACCTGGGACATAACCTCAGCTATTTCAGCCTGTCTTCATAAGAGAAGTGCTCCCAGCCCTCCAATCATCTTCGAGGCCCTCCTTTGGACACACTCCAATAGTTCCATGGCTCCCAAGATAGCAAGGACATACACCCAGAGTGTGCAAATAGCTCATATTCCTCATCTAACAGGGCAGGCTCACATTTTCAAAACAGCCCAGGATCATACTGTGTGTTGATGTTGCCTTTCTCAAAGCTCTTATCTGCCATGTTTATTCTCTATATAAACTGCTTGTGGTAGCACCAGGTGCAAAGGGGTGTGAAAACAGAGGTAACTTCAGCACTGGACTCATTGGAATGATGATACTTTTCCTGATTCGTTACAGCCACACAACTGTGCACCATGCAATTACAGTCCTGTAGTCCTTGAGAGAGAGATCTCTGTGCCTTAGAAAGAGATTTATTGAGAAGGCCAGGCTGTAAAACATGATGGAGACCCGAAGAACCTCACCTACAGCTCCAAACCCACAGGTAAAGGAAAGTAACACCCACAGCTATGGAATAGCAAAATCCAAGTCAGCCCAACAAGCCAAAATGCTTTGGTCTCAGCCTTGAGGGGGAGGAAGGAAATGCCTTTCAAAAAAGAGACAAGTATTCCCCTCTGCCCACCTCCAATTTTCCCACCAAATAAAATTCAATTGATGGAAAACAGCTTTTTCCCTTATATATCAGTTTTTGCAGATTTCAACAGTAATATGGGCATCAGGCTACAAGAGTTTTAATACTATTATTATTATAATAAAATGAATATAACAGTTTGAGGGATAACTTCTGAGCATTACGCAGTTTCTACTTTTTTAACTTTCTGAGAGCCATTCCCCCAAAAGAACCTCCAACTCCTTAAAATGAGTTTATTATTTGTCTGAATAGCCAAAAAGGTTAAAATAACTGTGATAAAGTTCATTTTGAAAAAATCAAGAGAAATCACCAATCTCCCTTAGTAAGGTTAATTTAACACGCTACATCTTATATACAGAAGTTTTAAAATAAATCCACCATGGACAAATCACTAAATTATTATTGTTGTTATTATTGAACTTACAAATCTAAACAAAATTAAGTTACATATGTATGGCATTAGATACTAACAACATACAATTACCTTTGAATCCTTAGCATAATAAAGGGTACGACCTCGAAGTTTGAAATAACGCTTTTTCCACCTTTGAAAAGAGCTGGTTTGCTTCAGCAGTAATCCTTCTTTTATACTTGTCTGAAAAATATTAAAATACAGAAGACAAGGTAAATACATATAGAAATAGCTACATATATAAAGTTACACTTTTCAAAATTTATGTTACACCTCATATAACATTTAAACTTGTATTTATTCGCATTAAATTGAGACTAATTCTCTGGACAACCAGATTTTGCATTGCTATTATTTAAACAATGACAATGCTGGCAAAATGCTAATTTAAAATGTAAACTGAAAAGGTAGTTGAGAGGTATATAATTATTGTGAAGACAAATACAAAAGAATTCAATTGTCTGGATAGCTGCAAACTCACAAATATTGAAGTGATCAACAGCTGATGTTGGCACAACTCAGAAAAAAAGCGCCAAAGCCATCTATGGCTACCCTTTCAGTTCCAAATTTGATTATGTTGAGGAGAAAAACAATTTCCACATAGCCACAGTAATTCAACAAGGTACTTAAATGTGTGTCTAATTCAAGCACATGAATTACACCTTTAAAACAAAGGGAATGATCCAGTATTATGCAAGTCATGCATGACTTCCAAGTGCATTGCTGAACTGCAGCCTTCAGCATGAAATCAGCTTACCATTAGGGATAATTATTATATGGGAAGTGTGAGAACAGCAACAGCTAGGGATATTTTTACCACGCAAATATTTTTAGGCAAAAAATGATTCGCCGATCCTAATCTTTCCACTGCAGATTGAACCCTGCCTATATAAAGCCCATTTTTGAAATGAGTAAGAGACAAATTTAAATGTGTATGCTGCTTTCACCACTGTGTGTGGGATTCATGCAAGCAATTACATAAATTCTCCACTTAATCAGACAAAATGACATGACACAGCATATAATTGCACAAATCTCAAAATAGATTTTCTTCAGTTTTGAAGCACACGAAAGGTATGAGAAAAAGCAAGTACATTTTTATATTATATTCTAAAGTTACTATTTCCAGAATATTTCCACTTTGTAGTGTAGTAATGTAATGAGAGCCTTGTAATACAATTTCTAGACAATGTGATATAAATATCATTTGACATTATTATAAATCGTTTAGAAACTTTACCAAGACCTGACCTAAAGCTCATAAACATCTTCTTCTGTTATCAGATGTCATATTCTCCGTAACTTTAATGCAAATAATGAAAACACAGAAAAAGTAGAAAGCACTATAATGTTCCTACCATTTCCTTGAAATGAGAAACGCTGCTGTTATGTACACAGATTGCACCCTTCATTTAGATGGTCCTAACATCACAAACTAAGAATATGGTCCAACGATCACAAAGCTATTGAATAAATGCTCTCAAAAAAGCAACCCTCTCAGATCAAACATCACAGCTGAAAGTTCAGATTTGTCACAGTTTGCTTCACATGCCAGCAATCTGGACCAATGCATTCAGTCAGCCCTCCTGCTCTAGCTAAGGGGTGGCAATTCCCAGCAGAAAGGGTCTGCTCAGCACACACCATCTCAAGACAGTTTGCAATTTTCTGATCAGACTCTAAGATAAGATAGTTTCAATGATATAAATAGACGTAATCAGTTAGTGAATACAAGTGCTTATTCAAAGCTGCCTCCTGTAGCCATGCAGCACCTGTGCTTCACATCACTCTCTGAGATTTCAGAAGCTCATCAAATGGGATGGCAGTAAATGACTTGTGTGTTTTTTAAGGGTCAGAAGATGTTAAGAGCAGAGAAATGCAGTTCCAAGGAATCAGTACTCTGCATTTGTGGCAGGCACTGACTTACTGGAAAAATTTCCAAAATGGAAGGAAATCTATATTCCCTAAAACACATTGTGTGTACTAAGAGACAAAGAACATATATTATGCTGAATGCTTTTTGAAATTATAAACTCTGTTCAAAGAACATAAATCACACTAAACCTTGCACTATTATTCACTAAAGAATTAGTTAACTCTTTCACGTAATTTTCATGCCTATATAAACCATTTTCTCCTACTTCTACTCATCCATTAAACACCAATATCCCTAATGTCAAACCAATAACTTCAAAATTAAATCTATTTTGCAAATCAGCCATTTAAAATTAAATTCCTAAAGCTGGCAGTAAATAACCATGCAGGCTCTACAGAATTTATTTTTGTATCAAAATTTTCAAAAAATACTAGGCTGCTAAACATTTCCCCAAGAAGTGTAAGCACTTCAAGAAGTATACATTTGAAGTTTACATTTTACCACCAATAACAATATTGGACTGAGTTTGGACATCTTAAGCAGACAATTTCATGGCTGCAGGCATCAAAATTGAGCACAAAGCTTTAACCCAATATCCTTAATTAACTTTATTTAGACTTTAAAATGAAGTTGAAAATTCCATCTGCAAATTGAGTCATTAGGTAATCTGCTAATAATGTTTTCCCAAGTCTATAATCAAGTTACAGCACTTCCAGTAATTTGGTATTGGAAGGGACTCTCACATTGCTGAATTTGGGTCCACATTATTGCCTACAAACATATTCAAAAGGTCATATTCAAAATAATTGATCAGGCTATAACTACACCTTAAGAGAGCTATCAGTTCCTTTTCTTCTCCCAATGGCAATTAAGACAGTGCTCCAAGATCTCACTGTTCTGAGAAACCTTTTTATAATTAATCTCAGCTGGATATTAAATCTGAAGCATAAGCAATAATCACTCCAATTATATTAACTACTTTCCTATTGTAATTTCGGAGAAACAAAAAGGGCAGATCCCACAATCCCACTCTATGTCTCACTTTTTACAGATTCACCTCTCATTAGCTTGCCAAAATCTCTAAACTCCCCATACTGCATTTTGTATCATCCAGTAATACAAGGTCCCTCAAGAAGTATGGGACTATAATTAGAAGAAAGCAGAATAGAATAGAACAACTATTATAAAGTTACTAACAATCTTTAGTACTTTAGCCATTAAAGAAGCAAAATGATTGACAATGTTATAATCACAACATCACAGTGCTCCACATATTTTCCTGAAGAAATCTAATTATAAAAGTAACTTCACAAAATTAAGAAAGTGTACATATGTGTTCAATTATGTAAGAATGTTGAATGCAACTCTACATCTCCAAAATCTACATGACAAAAAAAAAAAAAATTGGATTTGTAGGTATTCTGATCACTAAAAATGAGAGATATCATATCAGCAGATTTTAAAATATCCAGTATATAACACCTGAAAATTCAAAACTAACAGTTTTCAACCAACTTCCCTTACTTCTAACTCACTTTATAAAGTTCCACATTTCTGCAAAAGACAAATTTTCTTCTCCTGCTGCTGCTTGAAAGACCCAAAGAAAGGATAAAATATTCTGAATTTAGAAAACAGTAAACTGATTATGGACACATTATTGGCAATTGCAAACTAAAACACTGAATGATTAAAGATAAAGCTCTTTCCTGTGCCCCTCTTCATATACATAAGTGGACACGCTGCTCCAAATGTGTCAGGAGAGTGAGTAAAACAACATGAGGAAATTTCTGAAAGTGAGTAGGATGAAAATGAGAACAGGAAAGACCATAAAACAGTGCAGTCAAATGTAAACAGGAAATTAAGAGGTGAAGAAGAATTTTAGAATCACCTTACAACAGATGCTCATGCTGAGACTAAAATGTTCATAAATACTTTAAAAGATGAAAGACAGCTAGCAGGTTGTCAGGATCATTTTCCAACAGGGGTACGAAAAGGGTACTCAAGGATAAGATCACAGCAAAGAAGCTCTTCAAATTCTTGGCATCTGTCTTTACCAGTGGAGATGACGAGATGGTATCTCATACTGAATGTTCCCCGTAACATCAGAACAGCTTCACTGACATAGAGGGCATGTACAGGAAGTACTAGACCACTCAAATCACTAAGTCATGTGGACCAGATGACACCAAACTGAGAGCCTTGGAGGTCCTGAAAGGACCACTGATACTAACATCCACTCCTAGTAAGAGAGTAGAGTCCAAACGAAAGAATATTGCTGAGCCCATACGTATCTGACAACCCTGCTTTTGTAAAGGAAAATACTGTCCTGCTACCTACCATGAGTTCAGGAAGTGTAGAGAAAAGCATGTGGATAAATGAAGATCCTGTAGACCTGGATTCTTAAAAAGCCTTTGGCAAGGCTTCCCGACAAAGAATACTGAAGAATTTTTGTTAGAACTGAATTGGAAAAAGTGGCATGTTGTGAACTGAAAGTTGCTTCAGGGAAAAAATCTAAACCTCACAAACCTCACTAATATTCTCACATCAACTTTGAGTGAAGAAGGGATCTGGGAACCACAATTCACAGCTCTCCAAGCTCAACCACAGCCAGAAATGCTAGAAAACTTAGGTTGCCACTAAGAAAAGCAACAAAACCAAGACAGATAATATAATTTTGCTGCTATATAACAGCATTGTACCAGACAGTTCTGCTCTCTCCAACTCAAGAAACGGGGTTAAGAGAAGGTACAGAGAAGTGCAACACAAATGATTCACAGAACAGCAGCTGCCTTACAAGAGACGAAAATAAGCAGGAACTCTTCAGTTTGAAGAGCAGAAGACAAATGGGGTAACATGAGCAATGATTAAAAAAGCATTAAAGAAGAGTAAGGTGACTGCAGAACTATTGCTCACCAAAGCCTGCAATTTTATAACAGGAGAAATGTGATGAAACTATATTGAGATCAGCTTAACAAAACTAAAAAGCAGCAGCACATCTTTACAGAGCAGGTAGTGATTTCATGAAGCTTGCTGTCACAAGAAATTGTAGAGGCAGACAGCAAGTACAAAAAAGGGAGCATACAAATTCAAGTACACCATATCTGTATGTGGAAATAAAACCAACCCTCTTCTTTTTAGTATTGTGAACAGTTTGGTACATTTTCACTGTCTGCATAGGTATGGCAGTGTCTTCATTACAAAGTAAAGTCTCACAGCTCATATTAACTCATAGTCCCTTAAAATATTCCATGTGTTCAACGCATCAAGAATTACTTTTATTATTAAAAATGTGACAATCAAACACTTGATT